ATACTCCAACACCTCGTAATATTCTCCAAAGGACGACTACCATAAGACTTGTAAAAAACTGGGGCCAGAAGTCTATCCGCACCTCCTCGCACTCTTTCAGCTTCTGCTGCGCCCCCTCGAAATTGGTCCTCCAGAATTGTGTGAGTCTGACACTAAATCCTACTCCCTTCCTTCATTTTCTTCGAACCACAACTAGTCTCAAGAGTCCGAAAAAAGAATTTAAGGTCCAAATCCGCACCTCCTCGCACTCTTTCAGCTTCTGCTGCGCCCCCTCGAAGTCGTACTCGATGTAGAGGCACTCGAGGAACTGCGTGATGGGGTCCGCGTACGTGTAGCTCTCCTGCTGGATGACCTTCATCAGCTCGCGCATCACCAGCTGCCGCCGCCGCTTGTTCAAAATCACCGCCGTCGCCAGGTACCGCAGCAAGTGGTGCGCATTCTGCTGGATCGCGTTCAAGTACCTGGAAGAAGGGGCGTTCTGGACTTAGAATTCTTAAGTAATTTGAGTCCTTGATTTGCAGGTCTGGTATTACTGGCTTCCTGGGTCAATCATATCACCGCTGTCACTAGGTACCGCAGCAAGTGGTGCGCAATCTGCTGGATCGCATTCGAAAAGCTGGGGGTCAGCGGTCTAGATATCCCAGAAGTTGCGCATCTTCGGGTTGGAATTTTAGAAGCATTGGCTTTCAAATCGCTCGTTCAAGGATCCCCACGACCGCCAGGTACTGCAGCAAGTAGTAAACATTCTGCTGGATCGCATCTGAATACCTGAGGGGCGACAATGTGCGAGCCTAGGATTGCTAGCTTTGTTGAATCAGTTGGGTATAATATGTACAGCTACTGTTCTCCAGGATGCTCTGCTTGATTGAGCTCAGATACTTGAAAAGTGAGACATCGTGATGAACGACGCAGTTTAAGGCTTGGTAGAAAGCGGGGAAAAAAAAAACGACTGACCGACAGCAAGTCTTGAGGAGCACAAACCAGGGTCACGTAACCCAGATTACACAATGAAACGAAGGTGCTTCTTCGGGTGGAGCTTACGCTCACGTAACCGGATCGACTGAAGCCTCATACTATTGTGAAGGACGTAGAAACGTGCATGTCTGTACCCTTAATTGTGAAACGGCGATCAGAGAGGAAACAGACAAACACTTAGACGGGGGAATCAACAAGCGGAATGGAACTACATCGAACTGACTTTTGATGAGTGGCGCTCACTTTTCTTGGAAGAACATGTCGATGAGGAGGTTGTTCCCGTTTTCGTGGTTGAAGAAGACGAAGAGGCTCCAGTGCAGCAGCCACGTCCGCTGCTGCAGCTGGCTCAGGGGGCTGGTAAAGGCCTGCAAACAGAGGGCGGGGAAACGAGGGGTTGGACGCTTAAATCAAAGCTCCAGACGGAATTTGTAGCCAACTTGCCTTCTTCTGAGCCAAGGACGTGCCACAAAACGCCACTCGCAAGCCCAGCACTTTATATAAACGAATGTGCACACAATATCGTTAAAGAGGTGAGAGCGATTGGGCTCATACTAGACCCCGCTTAGACTCTGGGAACGGCTTAAATTCAGTCTCCTACTCAAACGCGGTCTTTTTAAGACTAGGTCTTCCGTAAGTCGCTCCAAATTCGACCTCGAAGTCCTGAGAACCCGAATCGGATGCAAAGTCCTCAATATAGGCCCCTTTACCTTCCCTGATCCGTTTACAACTTCCCGCTGCATTGTCCCAATTCCAAAAACCTCTCCAAGCATTTTGATCCGGCTCCTACACCCAAGAATCTCAAGGTGCAAATCCCCCACCAAATGCAACCGACCTTGATGTCGAATATTCCTTGAGCCAGTAATGTCCTCGCGCAACTCCTTCCGACTTATTTTCAAACCCCAGAGGTCGACTCCACTTCCAATCGACTCACTCCTCCAAATCCTTCCATAACTCCCTCCAAAAATCTTCCGCAACTCAGAAATCAATCTGAACTCCAGATTCATACCCACCTTGGAGTCGATAATCTCCTTGAGCCGGTTGAGATCCTCCAGCGCGTCCTCCCACTTCTGCATCAGGATGGCCGCCGCCAGCTTGCCCCACAGCGCGCTCATGCTTTTGTCCGCGTCGCTCGACAGCTGGCGGTAGCTGTACAGAAACTCGGCCGCGCCCGAGTAGTTGCCGCACTCAAACTGGAACTTGGCGTACCAGTAGAGAGCCTCGATCTGGTCCTGTCCAATCTGGAAGAGCAGAAAGAGACAACGTCCCTTTTCAGCACGTCTCCCAATTTCATCTCTTGAGAGGAACGCTTGGGAGATTATCCGCGCCCAAGTGGTTGCCGCACTCGAACTAATCCTTAACTGTGTATTTTTAGAGCCTCAATCTGGTCCTGTCCAATCTGGATAGGCAAAAATAGACACGCCCCTCTTCAGCTCGCTTTCTGATTCCTTCGGAGACCATCAACAGAAACGCAGACCACGAGAAGTTGGATGAACTGGAGTTGAGTCAATCTGCCCCTGCTCCCTTTGCAGCTCGGTTTTCTGGTTCTGTCAGAATTGAGCAGAGAAGTGGCCCCAATAACTCAAATGACTTAAAACAAAGTGGTCCTGGTAAAAGTCAAACCTAGATATGAGATCCGAAAGATGAGACATAAGCAAAGCAGGACGCCAGACGAGGTATGAACAACCGACTTTGAAGGCCGGTAAGACAAAATCGACCGGACAAAAAACCGAACTAAGGAACACATCAAACCTCGCAGGAATGCGAAGCTGACACTGAAGCGCTCCACCAGGATGCAAATGCTCAATAACGATGAGTGACGATGGGACACCAAGGAGCTCGGATCCGAAAACAGTCAGAGGACCAAAGGAGATGATGAAAGACCAGTATGGAAGGCAAAGGGGGTGGCACCGACAATGAAGCACTCCCCCAGCAGCTGCACGTCACGAGAACGATGAGATACTCGAGGAAGTCTGAGATACCCACGAAGTCAAGACAAAGGAAGCAGTGAAAGAATGAGAAGGATGATCTTGAAAACGGAGTACAAAATGCAGAAAAGGTGGTGGCACTGACGTTGAAGCGCTCCCGCAGCAGCTGCACATTGTAGGCCTTGTCGGAGGGGTGCAGCTGGTCGACGTGTGCGGGGTCCTGCAAGAACTGGATGATGGGGGCCGCCTTCTCGTCCAGGTCGCGCATGCGCTCGACAACGTCCGCACGCCGCTCGAGCATCTCTGCAGGGGGGGGGATGCCGACACTGTTGATGAGCGCGAGAATGTGGGGTCAATCAACAGCTTCTCACCAGAGTATTCATCCGCCTTCTTATTCTGGACTTATAAATGGCGCCTGCAAACATGCTTCAGCGCTCTGCAACTACGACTCCTAGCCCACACACTGTACCAAGCATGGAGAGGGATCGAAACAAGCGCTCGGCACAGCGGCCTGTCAGAGCAAAAGTCTGAGCAACTCCAACTATCAACCAGGGCATGCGCGTCAGGCCGGCCTTTTCTGTGCCCTCTGATTACATCCAATCAGTGGCTGACTTGCAATTTGCTGTGAGCCATTTCAACCATTACGATTATAATTTCGCCAGCTCTACACCAAAGTCGCCGTCTGCTACACCTAACCCATAGATTCCTTTTTGCCCCGCTTTGCTGTCGCCTTGAACGTCGACTTACAGACCGTTTGCAGACGACATAATTAGCTGCGCCGATCTCAAGGAGGAGGGACACAAGAGCCGAGCGGAGCCAAAGGGTGACAAAGCTAGAAAACCTGCCCGGGAGCTGCCCGCTGGTCACTGCCGCCTGCATTCAGTCGCCACTGTAACACCACTACCAATCCTGGCTTCAACCGTGCTGATCTCATCAACCTTCCAAAGGCGATTGATTGAGAGCAACTGCCAGCGGACCAATCATCAATGGCACACCGTCGATTGGAGACTTCGCCGCAAATATAGAATCTGGATTGCGGGACGCCGCACCTTCCGGGACGTCCTCTGTCCTGTAGAGCGCTTTGTGGATGTCCATGCCATAGTCAACCATGTTTGTCTTGCCCAAGAGGTCGATTTTGGCCTTCAGAATGTCCTCCTCCGGGTATACCTGCACCGACCTCAGGATGTTTACGATCACTCATAGCAATGCATTGTCCGGCGGCAGGCCTGTGCGGCGCTTCCCTTATGCAAGCTGAAAAGTCTCATAACACCACAGGAACAAGACATACGCAGAGACAATTGGCACCGTTACCAACGATTCCCTTGGCTCAATACCAATTCGCGTTTAACTCGCTTTGCCCCCTGATATAGTGCCCAGGATCTTGTTGCAAGCGCTAACCAAGTTGACGAGCTGGCTGCAGAGGTACTAAAGGGGCCACGCTTTCCTTTTGAAAGAATACACACCGGAACTACATCAGACGCGTCAAAAGCAGCCGGCAAGCAAAGCATTAGACTGACCTGCTTCTCTTGAAGAAACTCCAGCAGCGGGAACACCAGATGCCGGTCCAGATAGGGCGACATCTTGGGCACCAAATCGTGTGCCATCTTTCGACCACTTCAATTGCCTACCAACGTAAACTTGTCGTGAGTGCCCGTCCCACTTCTGTAGTCAAATTCGCGGATTGCAACCCCTCGAAAGAAGCTCTTTTCCCTGTGCTGCGCGCTTTCCCTATGCCCTCATGTCTCAGACAACGCGTTGTGTTTCCTCCATTTCATAGCGTTGATCTGCTGGCAGCACTGCAGCTGCCAACAGATGAGATGATCAAGCACCCAAGCTTGTACCGGGCGTATCGACCTGGCTTAGTACGACGTGCTCTGGGTTCGGCTGTCATGCCCGGGAGCCTCGTCCCGGGCAACTGGCCAGAGTGGTAATGGTAGATTTGCTATGGTAATGGTTTCTTGGCATCCGGAAGACGAAATTACGAATGTCCCGTCGGCACCACTGCCGCAAAACTATCAAAGTAGACTCCTTTTGTTAGTGTCTCCGCCACTCTGATTGGTGTGAATCACTCTCAACCCACCTGGAAGCACCTGAAGTGTGACAATTATTGCAGTCTGTCAGTGGTTACGGGAGTGGTTACAACGTTGACAATAAGACTGACATCGACATTGACATCGTTGACATTGACATTGACCCGGGGCACTTACTTTGACATTAGGGTTACGTTGCAAACCTGTGACGGTTCACGCCAATCGACGAGCGCTTTGTTAGGGTTACGCCATTTCCCAGTGACATTAGGGTTACTCACTGACAGTGACAACCGGGCAGAGTTCTTTTAGTTTTAGTGTTGTAGGCCATTTATCCTGACCTGGTTCTATCCGTACTAGAATCCGTACCGCAAAGTGTACGGTAAAACCTGAAATTCTGACGCATTTTTGTTCAAAGGACCTGAGCTGACAGTACGGTCCACGCGGATACCCTGTGAACCTATGATCCCGCGTGTAAGATGTTTTCACACTTTTTTGGAGCCTGAGACACTAACAAAAGGAGTCTACTTCGTCTTACTTGCACCACTGCCAGTGCAGCAATTCTGCTGCTTCAGACATCCAAATTCAATGTTAATAGCAGGTGGTGGTGCTACTGCGCTTTTTCAACGTCTAGGACGGTTGTCTCTCCTGAGAATTGCCTTTGAGGCCATCTTTAACTGCACGCAGTTGCCCCGAAACTCTGCATTCCAGATTGCAGGCAGCCACAATGGGGCGCTCAGACAAGGCGGCTGAGGCCAATGGCACAAAGCAGCCCAAGAAGCGGGCGCACATTGAGCCTGAAGAGGAGGAGGAAGAACTAGAGGAGGGATATGAACTAGAGGAGGAAGCAGAACTGGACTCAGAGGACGAGGGGATGGAGTTGGGGGACGAGGACGGTGAAGAGGAGGAGGCGCTTCTGGAGATGTTCACTCAGGCGGAAATCATTGAAGACATGAGAAAAGCGGGCGAGGTCAAGAGCGGGAAAGCGATTGCGGAGAAGGATCGGGAACTAGAGACGGCTGCCGACTTCATGCAGTGGCTGATCGCCCCAATGACTCTTGAGAAGTTCTACAGCGAGTACTGGGAGAAGAAGCCGTTTGTGATCCAGCGGAAGAACTGCCGGGGCTACTACAACGGCTGGTTTGGAAAGGATGACGTCATCGCACTCCTGCGCACGGGCAAGATGCTGTACGGCAAGAACGTCGACGTCACGAACTACGTCGACAATGAGCGGGTGACCCTCAACAAGGACGGGGCGGCGGACGCCGATGAGGTGCTCAGGAACTTTGAGGGGGGGTGCTCCGTCAGAGTTTTGCACCCCCAGAGATGGTCGGATCCGCTGTGGCTGATGCTCTCTACATTGGAGCGGCACTGGGAGAGCGTTGTGGGGTGCAACACGTACCTCACCCCACCGGGGTCGCAGGGGTTTAGCCCCCACTTTGACGACATCGAGGCGTTTGTGCTGCAAACGGAGGGGCGGAAGCACTGGCGGTGCTATGCGCCGCGCGAGGGGGGGGAGCTGTTGCCGCGTGTCAGCAGCCCCAACTTCTTGCAGGTGAGGGTTAGCGCTCAGGTTTTGGCAAGGGTTGAAAAGGTGGAGTTTGGGGAAGGTTCTCTTCGAATTTTGCTAAGGGGTTAAGAGTTGGGATTTCGATCTTTTTATTTTGATGCAAAGGTGGTGCAATTTAGCAGCCCCAATATCTCGCAAGTGAGGTTTGTGGTGTTTAGATGTTCTGGGTTTTGGCAAAAGTTTAAAAGGTTGGGTTTGGAAGTTTGGTCTAATGGCAAGGTGGTGCAGCCCCAGGTGTGATTTGCGGGGGTGATTAGTGTTTTGGGTTCCGGGAAGGGTTAACGTTTGGTGGGTTTTTCAAGGGTTTGTCCGATTGCAAGGTGGTGCAGGTTAGCAGCCCAAGCCGTCCCATGTAGGCTCGGGGTTGTTCAGAATTCTCGGTTATGGCAAGGGTTTAGGAGGTGAAGTTTTGAGATTTCAGCCCTGTTGCAAAGGTGGTGCAACATAGCAGCCTTAGCGTTCCATAGGTGGCGCTGCGAGGTTTCTGATGGGGCTGGCAAAAGTGGTCAGGAATCTTGCAAGACCTTCTCAATGGATTTTGCAAGTATTTCCGGGAGTGTGGCCTGATGGTTAGGTGGTGCAACTCTGTGCAACTGCGGTACGCTTACCAGATTAGTTTCATGACTCGCCAGGTGGCAGAGGTCGACTATGAATTCACAGTAACCCATCATACGTCCCATAAATGATGCAGTCCTGTATCCCAAATGTTGAAAGCGGTGCGATGTAGCACACTGTCGGCCACTTTCCAAAGCTGTTTTACTTCCTCTTCATAGCGCCAGACTTGGTTACCTACACTGTTACGTGCGATACATTCTGCTGTCGCGTCAGGCCTTTGTAGTGATGAAGTGCCACGATTTCTGTCGGCACCGTCTGACCTGTTGTTTTCTATGTTCGGACTAAGGGCCACAGACTGATGGAATGGCCATCTTGCTTTTGCAGGAAGACATCGGCGAGCCGGTGCTCGAGTTCGACCTTGAGGCAGGGGACCTTCTGTACATGCCCCGGGGGACGATCCATCAGGTAAGGCTTGTGCGATTCTTGTGTTGCAAGGGGTGTGGATTAGTCAAATCCAAGCTGGGTACAGCAACGGTCTTCTCGGCGGGGGTGCCTGTTTAATCGTGCGTTTCCTTCAAGGGGCCATTTATGTCGATTGACTAAAATCAGAATCGTGGAGGTCTCGGACTCCGGTGATCGAGTGTGGTTACCTAAAAACGAATCTGGCAGGGTTTTGAAATCAAAAGAACTAACTCTTGTTCGAGAACTCTCTGTTGTGCAGACTCTACTCAAGTGTATCTTCAAGCGAAAGCTTACCCGTTTCCCCAGTCAAGCTGCACCTACTCTTTGAGGCCCTATTCAAGCACGACTATCCTAACAGGGATCTCTTTTTGTCTCCTACCAGGTCAACTGCCTCCTCGACAGCCACTTTATGCACATTAAGTGGTCGACTTTCTGGTTCACAAGCTGCTACCTTACGTAATTTTACTAGAAAAAATTCCTCCTTTATCAAATTCTGACAAGAATTTCCAACAAGAGTTTCTGACAAGAATTCACGTCACTCCTCCCAGGCGAACTGCCTCCCCGACAGCCACTCCATGCACATCACTGTCTCCACGGGGCAGCAGAACACTTGGGCCGACTTTTTAGCCATCACGCTGCCCCGCGCGCTCGAGCTGGCGGCGGAAGAACACGTGGAGCTGCGGCGGAGCGTGCCGCGCGACGTGCTGAACTACATGGGGGTCGTGCATTCGGACAGCTCGGACACCAGGTGAGCACCGTCCAAAAAAGTTTCACACAGTTGATTCTGTCCATATATCAACAGTGTGAAAAACGTATGGAAAGGTTGGTCGCGTCGTCCGAAAAAGTCCAACAGCTATTCACTGAAGGTGCCGAAAGGATTGAATGGTTGGACCCTATGCGAACGGATGTCTCGGTCACTAGGTGAGCGCCGTTGGAAGAATCTAACATCACTACTTCAAAAGTTCTTCAAGATGCCAAGATTGAAAACTACGATTACAATCCGGACAGCTGTACTGTTCGGACACCGTGCAGTCGGACAGCTTGGAAGCTAGGTGAGAGCCGGTTGGGGGGATCGGACGAACTTGAAAGCTAGCTTGAGTAAAAGAGGTGACGAAATTGTCTTGTGCATTTGAACAGCTCGGACGCCAGTGACAAACATGTATTTCGAAGCAGTGAGAAGCCGACGAAGTCCGTCCGGAAAGTTTCATAATCTGCTTTCGCGCCGCGGGAACGAGCTTTGCTTAGGTTTGGCATCCTTCTTACCAGATGAGACTCGGGAGAACATATGCTGCGCGAGATATAGATCAGAGGGTCTTCCTTGGTCGTCATTTGTTTGAGGTCGAAGATTCTTAGACCACCTTTTGCACCCATCGATTTGGGGTTCCTGGCCAGATTATCGAACGGGGATTCCCTTCTACCTTTCAAAGCTTCTCGACTTCGAAGGTTGCGGCGAGTTCTCTTTTGTTGACCTCAGGGGGAAAAACTTAATCTATGCAACGCTCTGCAGATTTAAGAGCAGCGGGCTCATATACTTACCCGTCCGCTTCAGAGTAAAGACCCTTTTCCCACCTGAATCCTTCTTGCTTTCGAATGTCCGTCGGTCCCTTTCCCTTATCCTACCGGTTTGTGGATAGAAACCGAGACCCCTTGCTCGATTGAATCTGTCTCAGCCTTCAATCTTCTTTAGTTCTTCCACCTCATCCGACCAAATCTTCTGCACCAGGCGGGAGGAGTGCGTCGGCAAAATAGTCCAGCTGTTCGCCCTCATCCCGGAGTTCGCCGCCTGGGTTTGCTACCGCCACAAACTGACAAATATCCGTCCCCTGAACGAAAGCCTCTCAGTTCTCAATCTCGTTCTATTCCTTCTCCTTATCCGACCAATCTTATCTGCCAGGCGAGAGGAGTTTGTCGGGAAGATGGCCCAGCTTTTTAGCCTCATGCTGGAATCCGCCCCCTGGGATCCTGCTACCGACCAGCTGGGGGCTATGTTCCAGAGGGCCAGGCTACCCCCAGTGCCGCTCGGGGGAGCGCCCCGGCCTTCAACAGCCGCCAAAGTTGGTAAGTTAACAGTAGCCCGCTCATTCTCGTACGACCGAACGGAGTTTGGGATGGGTAAGCGCCAGGTGGTAGGTTCTTGCGGTCGTGTCGTTGTCTTTGAAAGCTTGTATCCAAGTTTTTGAGCAATGGAAGTATCGGTTTTATGTCGAGTTAGTTATGGTCCAGACCTACTCAGATTATTGAGAAGGTTTTTGTATTCATTTGACAGGAACCGGCGTTGGTCTTGCTCACTGTCACCAATTGTAGGCTCCGCACCTTTCGTCCTGGTTTGACAGCATGCCAAAAAAAGGGCTCTGGCATTCAATCCAGCTAAAGCAGGTCCTTTGCCGGACAGAAAGCCTCTCCGCAGCGTGCTGTTGGAAGGATACTTATTGCGCCTTTGATTGCAATCAACGCGCCGGAGGGCAAATTCTCGCTGTCGCACTCTTGGTGCGCGAGCCTGGCTATTCTTCGTTTAGTGTCATGACGGTATCATAACATTCTCCACTTCTGTTCTTGAACTTCTCGCGGTGACACCTCAAATCCACAAACGCAGTCATGCCCCCACGCAATGAGTCGTGGAGATCGATTCCATCTGCCGAGCACCACTTCCGTTGGCAGGGCCCAACAGCAAGGTTCGGCTGCCGCACAGTGGTTGTACCACATGATGCGAACCCGCCCGACGTTCCCAAGCAGGCATAGAGATCGGTGTTATGCACTGGGCTCGTTTACATCCGCAGGTCTGAACACCAAGGTCCGGTTGGCACACCCCGGGTCTGCCCGGTTGGTCGTCGTGGGCGACTCCACGGTGCTTTACCACATATTGCGGAACCCGTTAATGCGGAACCCGTTAATCCGACACAAGGAGTGGAGAGCAGGTCTACTCACAGTAACATTTTGAAATCGCAGGGCCCGACACCAAAGTTCGGCTGGCGCACCCCAGGTGTGCCCGGTTGGTCGTCGAGGGCGACTCTGCGGTGGTAAAACCAATCAAGTCCAAACTGCACCTAATGTCACCTTTTTAGACTCACAAACGCCGATCATGCTCACTCATGCTGCCGTAGAGCTTGTTTCCACTCACAGACCTCCACTCCCATTTGCAGGGCCCGACACCAAGGTTCGGCTGGCGCTCCCCGGGGTGTGCCCGAATGGTGAATCGAGGGCGACTCCCCGCCACAATGTACACGTGGTGCGCAACCCTTTGAACATTCTCGAGCAGGCGTAAAGATCGACTTTACTCACCGTAATCGTATCAAATCCGCAGGGCCTGACACCAAGGTTCGGCTGGCGCACCCCGGTTGCGCCCGGTTGGTCGTGGAGGGCGACTCTGCGGTGGTGTACCACATGATGCGCAACCCACGCGACCTGCACTGCGAGCGCCCCGCGGGGGCGGGCCACGGGGAGGGAGAACACGAACACGACGCGGCGGGGGGGTGCTGCGACGGGGACGAGAAGCCCCCCGGGGCGGCAGGTGAGGGGATGCATGAGCGAATGGATATTTGAGTGATCGAGTTGCTTGTGTGTCTGGAATAGTTGGATGTTGTGTTGGAAGATGTGGGCTGACTGCAAATGCTGTGCGAGGAAGTTGAGGGGGGAGGAGAGGAGGAGGGGGGAGAGGGAGGGGGAGGAAGGCGGGGGGTGGTTGGCGGGCGGAGGAACGGGTTGAGAGGTACGAACCAACATCAGGGGCGCTTCAAAATGCATTCCTTTGACTAATAATGTGACAGTGACAGAGGGAGCTCAGTGGACAACCCGTGTTTCCGTCCGTTCCAGGCACTCTGCTCCGTTATTGTTTTCGTCCGTTCCGCTCCAGGGTATCGTCCCTATCTCTATTTTGATGGGTTGGGTTCCTTCCCACTTTCTTTGGCGCATCCGCCTCTTTGGAGTGGTCTCCTGCTATACCAGTCGTTTTGTACCTCTGTCTTTTACTACTCACTTGAACTTAAGATCTGTCATCTTTTCCGGTCGACGAACCCATCCAGCATACAACCCCCTTTCCATCCGATGAAAGCTCAAAGCCTGCATTCCGATCTGCTCGTGTCTGATGTGCTCTGCCGATCGTTTCTTGCCTTGCTGTCATGGTGCTCCTAACAACTTTTCCTACCAATCATGTGCTTCTTCGACGCCTTTGTCGCTTTCACTTATGCTTCTTCTGCTTTTGATATCCGGTCGTGAGCTTGATTTCATCCCGAAGTCGATCAACGTAGGTATGGGCTGAGCACCAAAAAGTAGAAAGTATTGACGCGGTAGAAATTGAGTATATCTGTCGACCACCGCTTGCTCCTCAGCATAACAAAAATTAAAGTGCCTGGCCATTGTCACACGTGCCACGTCGTCAACGATCTGGAAAGAGGCTACCCAGAAAGAGACTTCCTCGTCTTTCAAGCTCCCTTACATTGTTGAATCCACGTGGATGCAGAACTGGGCGCCGGAAAGGACGGGGAAGAGGAAGACGACGAGGACACGACTCTAGAATTTCCGGTCGAGTGGGCGCCGGGCCTGGAGCTTCTCTTACTGAGCTACCCGACAACCGTTCCCGTTTCGTCCGTTCCTTTGGACTCCGTCGATGAGTCCGTTGAGATGGTTAAGGAAATGGTTGAGGCGGGCATCCTGGTAGTCCAATGAGGGGTCCAACAACATGGTGTATGATTGGCATCTAAAAGGTGTTGGCATTTATCTGTAGCAAGGCAAAGAGGTACACGAAGCTTTTGGTCCTGCGGCAGGCGGACTGTGGTCAGGTATTGGTGCAAAGGAGAAGCTGATGGGTACATACGAAGTCCCGGGCCTCTTCCCGACTGCGCTCAGTTCAAAGTGCGTCAATAGGTGTGTGTGTGAGAAGGAAATGGAGAGCGATTTGACTTGGTCAAGTCTTCTACGTTTCCAAACCCTCGTCCTAGAATTGAGCTTGTCTGTGAATGTTGCCATGCATGAGCTGGGCTTCACTTTATCTCCATTTTATCTACTCAACATATAGTTGGCATACGGCAAGTTGTTGGATAGTTTCCATGCATATACCATGTGATGCTACGGTAGTAGCCTGGAATGAGCTTGGAAATTTGAACTCATGACTAGGTCGGGCGTCCGGACCACCCATTTGGACACGAACTTACAAGAGACAACTTTCAACTCGGCGTCGGGACTCGAGACCAGACGTCCCGTACTCGCAAATGCCGACAACTCCTCAGCGATCACCCTGCTCACACAGTGGACCACTTATAATCCGCAAAGAATCGCCAAGCTTTACAGTATAGGATCACAAGAGTTGAATGTGGAATCCTGCAATCTTGTATGAAACACAATGGATCAAGATCGAACCTGTAGAAATCCTTCTTCAAGTTTGGGGGAAATAATTTTTTGCGAAAAATGTCGAACTGCCCCAGCTACAGCCTTCAGGCTACTAGGTGGCAGTGCCTAACAAGGCCCCCCGGAAAGCACGGAACCAATGAGATTGGCCTCAGGGAGATTCTCGAGAGGATCCGCTGAAGATGCAGCACTGGGCAGCCTCAGAGCTGAGCTGTCTGCTGCTAGGGGGTAGCTGCATATGACGCGCATTGACGCCTTGCTTCAGAAACCTTAATTGATCATGATGTTCATCTCTTCCGGTTCTGCCTTATACTAATAGATGGAGAGCTCGGACCTAGCTAGCATTTGAAGGTGGCCACAGGCAGCGGGCATGTGAGAACATCGAGAGCTCCCCCAAGTCCAAGTTGCTAAGCGAGAACTGGCCTAGTGAGCTCTCAAGCTGCAGAGTCATTGCTCTATAATGAGTCATTTGACAACGCCTTTGACTCGCACTGCCACCCCAATGTCCTCAGGCTGTGAAATACAACTTTCGTTGGGATCATGCCCATTCAGCAGCAGCTTCCCTTGATAGCGCCAACTTCGCACTGATCTTCTGGGGGTAGTATTGGGCTCAATCAAATGCAAGGCGTCAGCTCTTGCTAATGCCTTTCAGCTGATCCAGCTCCAATTATGACAGCTGCGATGCCACAGGGCTGACTCCCTAGATTGATCAGCTGCTCAACAGCCTTGATTAGTTAGCGCAATCAGTCAGCGCAATGGCGTTCAGGAACAAGGGTGGGCGCAAGGCATTGGAAGTTGAGCTTCAGGAGGTTGACAGTCTTCGGGAGCAGGTATCTAGATCTTGTAAAATGCGCCCCTGCTGATGTACAATTGAAGCGATGTCACCGCCGCGCACTCTTACAATTCTTGCCTTTGTGGGAGAGCTGGCGTTTCTTCATGTGTGGTGGCATGATGAAAGCATCGGAGGGACGATAGCCATATTTGAAAGCGGAATTGTCCGAGCAAGATTTCAATGGGAGTGAGGAGCGGGAGTGCTTGATTCAGTTGTGACTTTTTAAGCGAAGCTGAAGTGTGCAGATCTGTTTGGCCCTGGGCAGAAAAAACTTCGAGAATCTTGAGTGGCGTGGAGTGAATCCTGCTTCTGATGTTGCGTTGAACTCTTTCAAGGTGGTGGCATGGCTGATGTCTATAGCAAGCGGATCCGAAATGGAAAAACCCTGGGCCACAACACAACTGAGTATTGCCATGTTCTCAATTATCCGATTGGAACCACAAAGTACATCTCATCATTTTCAAGCTCTGTGGTCTTAGTCACCTGTGCATAAATTGTCACCTCACCTTCTGTTAGATCATCTTGGAGCTTTTCCAAACGCTTTCAACACCTGGTTCAATCCCCATCACCATCTCTTATCATCAGCACTCATTGTTCTGCTCATGACTATGAGTGAATCTGCTGATGCAGGGCCATTGGTCCCGAGCCGTCACTGCTGCCCAGGCTCTGGTGGCATTCTCCAGTACTCTCCCCCAACTGATCCAAGGCGAGTCCAGCCTGCACGAAGGCAAACTGGACGAAGCTGAGCAGCTGTTGCGCGCTGCTCTCCAGGCGGAGCCCCAAAACCAAGTAAGTGGCGCTCTGCTGACGAAGAAGATGCATCAGGCGTTTTGCTGACGTGCGTGTTTGCAGCGTTAAATTGACGGGGTCTCTTTGATGGGGTTTAGATACAGAGCTCTGAAGTCAGCAATCTCGAATCCAAGCAAAGGACGGGAGATACTTTCATGAGATCACTCAATTGAGAGCAAGAGGGCTCTAGAGGTTGTACCTAACGTGGTGACACTTTGTGATTAGTCAGACCTGCTTGAAGTCGCTGGGACAAACCCCGTGACGAAGCTACTTCTCAGCAGGTGATAAGTCCCCAAGCAACGCAGTCTCAGTTGACCAATCGTCGACTCCTTGCTTTTCAGGAGGCCTCTGCCCTTCTTGGCGAGACACTTTTCCGCAAGGGCGATGCCCAAGGTGCCCTCCCCTACCTCGAGTCCCTCGACATTTCCGCTCTCGGATCTCACATCCCACCCACACCCATACCCCTAGAGTCATCCACCCCCCGGCCTCGCGTCCGGCGGTCCAAAACCCCCGAACCCTCCGCCCCTTCAGACGTTTCCTCCTCGCACCGCGCCGCCGTGCTGACGTCAGCGCTCGTAACCCGCGCCAAGGCGCTGGACGGACTCGAGAGGCCCCGTGAGGCGGTCGACGTGCTGAAATCGCTGCTGGCCGCAGTGCCCTCGGTGTGGAACAGGGCCTCCCGGAAAAGCGTGCAGAAGGCGGTGCTGCTGCTGGGGGACCTCTACTGCAAACTCGGGGAAGAGTCGCGCGCGGTGGAAGTGTACAGAGAGGTTCTTGCACGAGAACCGGGCGTGTTGAGTGGCCATACCGCTAGGGAGGTGAAGAAGAAGCTGGCGGGGCTGCTTTTGCAAGGGGGGGAGGGAGCGGTTTTGCAGCAGCATGGGGGGGCGACGCCGGCAGACGAGGCGATTAAGCTTCTGCTGCAAGTGCAAACGGAGGAGTGGGAGGCGGGCGTGCATGAGCAGCTGGTGGGAGCGCTCAACTCGACAGGTGGGGTCCCAAGTAGTGGATAACTTTCGAGTGTGACTGAATGACACGTCGTATCGCACAAACTTCGTCAGGAATTACCTTCCCGAAACCTACGAATGTGTCGATAAGGACCATATCGCTCAACGGCCTCAGCTGAGGGCCATTGCTTCGGCACGCGTTTGATTGACCGGTGACAGACGGAAGGGCAGTAACCAGGATCAACGCAAGGAAGACGCATGGCCCCGCCCGTACAACCCATTCGTGTATGCAATAGTGAAACAACTCAAGAATAGAGTTCCGCTCTGCAAAAATATCTTGCGCTTGCCGATGCTCGTGCACTGGTTCGAGTCTAAAGTCCTCAGCTTTTGTCTTTCCAGTTGCTTCACCAACATTCGACAACATAAGCATTCCGTTCATTCCGTTCAAATCCAAAGTGCCACCGAACTCGCCCTAATGCAGGTAGATTTCCATTGTTTGATAAAGACTGCTTGAAGACGATATGAATCGTATCTTGCAAAACAAGCTAAGAATTGGTCTTCAGGTGCGTCGCTTATCAACATGGTAGAACACCTTTTGAGGTTGTCTTGCTGACAGTATCCACTTATAATCTCGCCAAGTTGGCCGCTTCCGTCTGAGGCGTTGACCCTCCTTTTGCTTGAAACACATTCTAAACATTGCTTCCAACGCAGGTCGCTTCGAGCTGCTCGCAGAGGTGCTGGAGTCCGTGAAACCCGGCGTGTTTACGCGCCCCGAGCGCTGGTATAATCTAGGGCTCGCACACCTGGCGGCCGGGAACGGGGAAAAGGCGCTGATGGTACTGCGTATGGCTGCCAAGGAGACGACCGGAAATGTCCCACTGCTAGTTGCCGCTGGTCGGGCATGCGCGATGACAGGTTGGTCTTGAGAACCAAAGTTCTTACTTCTGTATCTTTTACAATATTTTGTGAATATTTTGTGCACTGATAAGTGGGTCTCGGGGTCTGGATTATTCTTCTTAGTGAGGAAATTCTGAGGGATATACTTGACAGCGGCATTAATCATAATTGCTCGTGTCAATTAGGAGTGGCTTTGAAACGTCCAAGATTATAGCTCCTTCCTCAGTGTTGTTGAAAGACAGGCGTTCGTGCAGGGTCGGGTCGCATGGCGCCGATTTATTCAAGGGGGTTGTAAGTCAGCGTGATTCAACATCTTGTAACGTCAAAAAGCACTTGGAAAGCGATTCCACCAAATCACGCCGCCTTTGCGAGGTTGGTAGCGTCAAGACCGGAAGGGGTATTGATTACCAGAAGCAGAAACGAGGCACAGGTCGGCAAACGCTCGAGAACTCCCGTCTTGCTGTGAACGGGCCAGACGTTTTGCGTACGTTGCAATTAGAACAGATTTGCGTCCAACAAGCCTCACCCATGTGGGTCCCCTCGCAGGTTGCTCGGAGGAAGGAGTGCGGTATGCCGAAGAAGCGGTGCACTTCACTGAGGGCCAATCCTCCGACCTCCGGGGACAAGCGCTCCACGTGCTCGGGGTAAACCTCGGGCTGCAAGCGCGGTCTTCCCGGAGTGACGCCGAGCGGTCGGCGCTCCAGAACCGGGCAGTCGAGACGCTCAAAGACGCAGTCGCGGCCGCGCCCGGGGACTTTGCCCCGAGGTACGACCTGGCGGTACAGCTGGCGGAGGGGCGGAGGCTCCGCCCCGCGATGGAGCATATCGCCGTCGCGCTGGAGGCATCCAACGGCGCGCATTGCGACAGCTGGCGGCTGCTCGCGCTGCTGCTGTCGGCGGAGCAGCGCTTTGCGGCCGCGGAGGAGGTTCTGGCCGCCGCTCTAGATGCCGCCCCCGGCGGGGGCCGCCGGGCCGCGCTGCTGAGGACGCTCGCGAGCGTGCAGCGCGCGGGGGGGAGCGAGAAGCAGGCGCTGGGGACTCTCGCCAAGGTTCTGGGACTGGTCAAGACAGGTGGGCCCGCGGCTGAGGCGGGGGTTCTGAGCGAGCTCGCGGAGGCGAACGTCGCGCTGAAGGAGTGGGAAAATGCGGAGGAGTTTGCGAAGCGGGCGAAGGCTTTAGAGCCGTACCATGCGGGGGCGTGGTATGTGACGGGGTTAGTGCTCGAGGCGCAGAGACGGTCCGAGGAAGCGATGGCGGCGTACGAGACTGCGGCGGTCGCGGATCCTGCGGACGTCCGGAGCTTGGTCCGGGTGAGGGTCTCGTACGCTCTCCGGTTGTCAGGTTGCGTACGCAAGATAAAAGGTGCTCGTACATTGGGTTCGTTACCCGGTTTTTCGAGGATTGGTACTCAGTCCGTCGCTTCTTCTTGGGGGAATTGTGGCATATTCTAGATGAAAAAGGGGCCGTCTCTCTGAGGAACCATCATGCCGACCTGCTCACCCGTTGTTGTCTTACGTCGGACTCCGCCCAAGTAAGGCGGAACTGCCGATATATATATATATGCGGAATTGCGGTTCTCTCGCCTGTTTTTGGAAGGGGACTGGGAGCAGCCTTTGCAATCCTTGACTTTCGGCGCCATTTGTACTTCGGCTGGCTCAACGGCGATGCAACACCCGTCGCAGTTCCTGTCACTCAACGGCTGCTTCGTCGAGTGTCTTTTTCGCTATGTGCCGCCGTCTAGCTAGCACTCTGCTCCTTCGTACCCCCAATCTCTTAAAGCACACTTAGGCGGTATCTGCTCTGCGAGCTTTCTTGCTCTTATGACGCGCTCAGCACCTCCTTTGCAAGCGTACACAGTTCAAGTAAAGAAACCCTTTCATATCTCACGAGGTGATCGACCACTTGGTGCCCGAAGAATACGCCGTCTGAGAATTGATTGTTTCTTGCCAGATCGCGTCCCTGTACCGCGAGTCTCCAGCCGCAGCCCCGGTCGTGAGGAGCCTCCTGAACCAGGCGCTCCAACAAGACCCCATGAACCACGAGGCGTGGCACGGCCTCGGGCTGGTCCAAAAGGCGGACGGCTCGTTAAGCGAAGCTGCGGACAGCTTCCAAACTGCTATGGTGTTGCAGGCCACCGTTCCAGCGGCGCCCTTCTCGAGCCTGCCACGGGCGATCTTGTCCTTGCCGCCAAGATGCTGATAACGGACATACTCAATTCAAACTCAGAGTATGACGTTAGTTCAAGTAGCGCTGTTATCCAACATTGGAGTGGAGTTTTGGTCGGAGAAGGTGACCTCCTTCGGTCTCCTGAATCAGTATGAACGTAAACCCTAGATACATGAGTTCAGCAGCCTCGAGCAGCCCTGCACACAACTGTCGTCCAGCTTGACGGCTCCAGTAAATCGATTGCAAGTCTTCTGTGAAGTGTGTCTGTGTGGGCCGCCGATCGATGAAGATTATCATACAAAAAATACCGTCAGTGCATGCCGCAAGTCGGCCTTGAGCTGGTCCGTCGGATGATATTGCATGCAGCTATCATGATGAAGGTGATCACAGTGGCTGCCGCAATCTTAGTATGAGTTGCATGCGGGCATGCCAGTGCTATAGCATGCGAGTGCATGTCACGCATGGCGCGGCCCTTGGCAATATATTGGGTCCCATGCACGTCGATCTGTCAGTGTGGCATGCATGGCCCGGGCATAAGTGTACATGTGAATCTGCGCAGGACCGTTATGCGCATATATGGACGGCTGTGGTCGGTTTTAGCAGTACGTGATGCACTATTTCAATCAATTCAGTCACATGCATGAATCGCGATGACAAGTTAAAAATGTACACGATTGCAATCAGCTGCTAAAATTAAAGGATGTAGTAGGCCGGTACAGTCGTGATGTTATCTGGCCGTTGAATTGCGGGCCAGATCATGAACATTGGGCCATCGAGTCAGGTCTGGCCTCGCGGCGGCCTATTTGTTTACAAATAGATCTCGTTACCTGCATGACTGGCAATCTGAACCAGACACTTATAAAATGTCAGTGTAATAGGACTAGATATCTTTACCAGCCTCAAGCCATGCAATCGAGCTGTATAAAGACTTCGTGATTTGAGTCATGAACAAACCGGACTCATTGTCACGTTTGCTTTAAAGAAACTCTTCGAATGCTGGCGGGGGGTTGTTTCAGGCAACGGTCCCCGCTTTCATTCAGCTCCTTATCAGTTCTGATCTTTCATTTTACCTTTTTATCTTCTGCTGCTTGTTGCTTTGATCTTACTCGCAATTCTGCCCGTTTCACCTCTATGATCAGCTGTGTCAGGTTGTAGAGCGAGTTCACCTGCCACGCAAAGCAGGAACTTCCAGGATTAAGAAGGTGGCATCATAGAGAGAGTAATGGACCTTGCAGGGGCTGCCACTTCAATGGTAGGTTAGAAGGATCTGCCAACGTATGCCCAGAGTCTGACATAGTCATTACGATGTTGAACAATTGAGAGGACTTACCAGGAGAATCAGGGAGATCAGAATGAGAGGCCCTGAGAAAATAACCGAGATGAACACCCCCTGTGGATCGAAGTAGTGTTGCCGAGAGAACTGCTTCCAGTGCTTCCCAGCGAGCTTGTTGATTGTCTCCGCAAAGTAGATAGTCGCCACTGCACAAGCAAACGAATGAGGACCTAATGTTAGAAGAACTAAACCATATAGATCTTGCTTTGAAGAGCTGGAAAGGTACAATATGATCATACATGTGTGCGGCATTCAATTAGCACTCTTGAAGGACCACTCAAACTCAATGCAGTTCGTGCACAACAAGCAAGGTGTTGCTAAAAGAAGGTGACTGTTTGCACATCAGGAGTCAATACCGAAATACAATGTAAAGAGCTTCACCCTGATGTGAGTAGTTAGAGTCAGCCTGTGGGTCAGCCTGTGAGTAGTGAGAGTCACCCTGATGGTGGTGATGATAGAAGATGTCTATGATCTTGACCACTTACATATTGTGAAGAAGAGAACAAACTGCAGGTTGTTTCGTCTCCGTGTGAAGATTGCGACGAAAAAGAGAAGCATGTGGGCGCAAATGAGGGCAAGAATCCATGGTTCCTGCAGGATCAGGGAATGTCAAATGAGAAGTAAGCCTTCTTCTAAGGTGAAGCATCAACACTCAAACTGCAAGGAGCAACCAAGGCAATGTGGACCAAGCAACCCCCTCGAAACATTTGGAAAACAAGCTGACTACTCATGAAGATCAAAGTCAAAGCTCATGTCACCAGCAGAGATCCTTGCGGGACAAACTTGGATTGCACCACCGATTGCACCTGTCAATTCTGAAAAGGCGCTAGAAAACGGGAGTTGGATCCACCGATTCAAAATGCTGGACACTGCATCAAAGACTTGAATGGTACAAAGAGTGTGGCCCCTTACAGTCCAGTCAACCGCGTGCACGAAAGCGAGTATTGAGTCCTTGATGCTGCCTCCATCTGACATCTCTTGAAACTTCTTTCGAACTTCCCCCGTCACATGTTCCAGGATAGCTGTGATCTCATCCATGTTTCCAAGACGGGGAGCCTGTGAATTAGAGTTTGCAAGCTCAGCTCAAAGCAACAGAGACCGATTGAAGCCTTGTGAATCAATGGCAATGCTGTTCAAGACCAATCCCTTTCAATCAGACTGCCAGAAACATTAGCCACGGCGCTACGGCTCAGCTTGAGAATTGCAAGAGAAAGTATGGGAGCTGTAGAGATCTGTCAGACGGCTTCAAACTTTCACAAAGGACGGTCACTTTCTACGTTTCTTTCTTGCTGATGTGAGTTTCTTCAGTTTCAACCTGGGTTCATTCTAGCTTTACGCACCACGAGCTCTGTACCACTGCACTGTTTCAAACTGAAAATGCAGGAAGAAAGATCTATATATGGCACATATGCGGTTGTACCAAATGCGCAATATGCATCTGATTAGGTAGCTGGATATACCGTACTCGGGTTCCAGTACAGCCAAATTCGATTTGAATTTTGAATTATGCTCGGATACCAGGCAGAACCGCTGACAGCCGACCCAATTCAGACCGGATATATCCTGATGTAACTCTGCAATATGCTCCTGTCCTCTGCCAGGCTGGCCAGGGTTGTCCAGCTGTGGTCACAGTGGTGTGGAGCTGAAGAGTCCATCTCTGGCTGCCTGCGTAAGCTTTGAACCTTGAAGTTGCAGATAGTGGACGACATCTCCAGGCCATTAGGAAACATCACAAAGGTGGTGGCGGGATTATTTTGTTTCTATTCGGTGGCAGGGTTGCTTGCTCTTTAGTAAAAAGCGTAGTCACCTGGTGGCAGGCGCTTAACAGTGTCAATCAGCTGGGGCTACTGACTTGAGTTGCCAGCACACATGTACTGATGCGAGCCTTGCTAGATCCCCCAGCCTCCCTTGCACCTTAGCCGCACATGAGCCTGTCACGCAAGTGCAAGACGTCTACGCTGAAGGGAAGGAGCATTGTTGATGCTGCCTGATTAACTACAAAACTATACACGTCGCTGCTCACGATCTAAATTTGGTGGCGGCCACTTAACTGGTGGCTTGGGCTTGCAGCAGTCTGGAAAGCAAGATGAGTGCACTGATTGTGCCTGAGTTCTTGCTGAATTTTGACGGTAAGTCTCTGAAACTACATAGGGGAGTCTTACTTACGAGCATCCTCAGGGCCTCTTGAGTCTTGCAAATTGGGTTTGAATGATGAGGCGTCATGTGCAACTTTTTCATCTTGAACAGCTTGATGTGCAGTGCTGTCAATCCGGGTTTCTCTTTGGTTCAAAGGGTTTTATTCAGGATTAGACGTTGCAGCTTATGAGGAAGCACACTGCATGCTTTGGGTCTGCGGTAGCAAGCCCATACTTACATGTCCAAGGTGCAGAGCACTTGAGTAACTCCATCAATTTGAGTAACTCCTCATTGATGGGAGTATTTACACAGCTGACTCTCTTGCAGTGAGCAGTGTCAGCAAGCATGTTTGGGTGGAGTTGGTGCTCTTGCTTGTTGTCTTGTACTTCCTCAGCCAGAGGAGCTACAAGCCAGACCAGCGACCCCTCTCCCATCAGGTAGGGTGTACTCTGTCCCTTGAAGTTCGCTAGATCAGACGGACCCCCCATTGAAGTCTGTTCAAGGTTTGCGTCTGTTATTCCGAGTTAGAGGACATCATGTGCACATGAACCACGAATTTTTTTCTGGACCAGTGTAAGAAAGAGTGAGCCGAGATGCAGACCCAGGCGAAACTGACGAGAAAGCTATGAATGACAAAAGTTTTTCGAGGGACACTATCCGAACCTCATATTGTCTGAGCAGGCCAGTCAAACAAGGCACGGTGGCACTGTCTGTATTTGTAGGGCACTATCGCCCCGCAAGTTTATATGTTTGAACTTCCAAGTTGCGCCTTCTCCAACATCAGGGCTCCACTTTTGCAGGAGATTGACCAACTCTGTGAGGAGTGGGTACCCGACCCCCTCACACCACCTCTCACCAAGTTCCAAAAGGAATACAAAGCTCCCGTCCTTTCTGGGTGAGGAACTTGTCTGAGTGGCAAAACCATATACAGTCCATCTGACTTTATTGCGATTGATCGTAGTTTCCAAAGAAGCATCAGTGAATTGATGTACGTGTCCACGCTGTGGTCTGTGCGCCTATGTGGGAGTCGAGCTTTGCAAGGCTCTTCTGAAGCCCCATTTTTCAATGTTTCCTCTCCCGGGGGTGAATGCACCTGACAGTGGGACACCAAGGCCGTGTTTGTGAGATGAAACATGATGAAGATTTGACGAATTGGAGTTTCCCCATTGATGGGCAAGGAGTTGGGACCGGTGTCCAATACAAAGTTTCTCTTCCATCACTCTCAACTCCTGTCAGTGAGTGAAGTGTCACATGGTAAATTTCTGTTCGCGGGTACTGGCATGACATTATGAGCCTAGCGCTAGCAAATTACGAGGAATCTTTTGTCCCATCCAGTGCCGCTGGAGTGAAGACGACCGTGAATGGAAAAGAGGTCCTGAACCTAGCATCGACCAACTTCCTTGGGTTTGTTGGGAACCCGCAGATTGCCGTGAGTGCATTTGCAAGAGTTACAGTTTTCGGTGCATATGCTGTTTTGTTCTTGAAACGACAACCTGTTGCACCTTCCGTATGTCATGTGTCGTTTGCCCAATCGCTGCTCGTAGCAAGATGAGCTGCTTCGACAATACTCTGATATCCAATGTCCATGAGCGTCGTCAGTTTGCTAACTCCTGTCAATATCCTCAAAGTACCAACTTGTTCGTTCCGATTGGCTCCAATACTGAGTCTGGATCTTTGTGCGTGTCTTTTCGGGGGGGTACAGCTGTTCTAGGAGCTCACCGGTAGTCAACGGTTTCAATTGGGCCATCCGGTAGCGGGTCATTCAAGACGAGTTGATTCTGAAGCATCACAAGGGTATACCGACATGTAATGGGACACTGGCGTTGCTCAAGTGTCAACTGGACTTTTAGCAGAGACATCAAACAAAGAGTTGTGAAGAATTCTACTCGAACCTGGCGCGGAGACAAATACGGTTCCTTTCTTGTGCAGGATGCGGGAGCTGCCGCGATTCGGAAGTACGGGGTAGGATCTTGCGGGCCTCGAGGCTTTTACGGGACGATTGGTGCGTGATCCGTTTGCTTCGCCAATCTGGGTTCTGGCTCGCTCGCCCCTCTTGCCTACCATGCACCGAATTCAGTATTTTGCAACACCAGAAGGCCCGCCAGAATCACGAGGTTTGCAGATCCGCCCTTGTGTAGATCACGCCCTGCTTCTGTTGCTGACGTGTGCAGGCAATAGCACAGAGCCGTTTTTCACTAGCCGACCCCGTTTAGTGCGCTTTCCGTTGATAATTGTTGCCTGCTGACGTGTGCCCTTGCTGACGTATGCAGACATCCACATGGATCTGGAAGAGAAGCTTGCGCGGTTCTTGGGGACCGCCGACTCCATCCTCTATTCATACGGCCTGGCCACGGCCTCGAGCACTATTCCGGCCTTCTGCAAGCGGGGCGACCTCATCATTGCGTGAGCGGCTGAGCTTTGTTAAACCATTGCCAACGGAACCTGCGAGATGAAGCGCCACTTTTGGTTCAAGCGGGAGTTTGCTCGTTAACAATTCGCACGGGCCAGATTCAATTCCTGTACCGACCATTCAAAACCAATCTGGTGTCGAGGCAGTGAAGCCGCTGTCGAAACATGCTTCTGGTGAGTGTAGGTCGCCCCAATTGGAAGGGCCGTTCATCATTCTGTGTCATGCGACGCTTATGCTTTCTGCCACCCTTTTGGTAAAATGTTCGAACGCGACTCGTTTTCTGAAGCGGGGTGCTTTCTCTCTGTCAGCGACGAGGGGTGCCACTGGGGCATCCAGAACGGGCTGACGCTGTCGCGGAGCACCGTCAAGTACTTCAAGCACAACGACATGGACGACCTAGAGCGGCTGCTCAAGGTCAGGCTCTTTGCGGTCAATGTATGATATTCGTGAACAGCAAAATTGATCTGTTTATTGTTTTTGAATCTTGTGGCGAGTTCGACTGGCGAGCGTGCAATCCTGCTGCGCTGCGCTCTTTCTTCAGAAAGGTTGTGGCTGGAAGGTTCCTACTTAGTCCTGCTCTTGCTCCTTTCCCAGCTCCCCCCCTTAGGTTGATTTCAATCCTGGGGGCCTTTGTGCGTACAGCCATGTTAAGACATACGAAAGTCGCAGCCATAGTGAGACATACGAAAGTCGCGGGAATGTGTGTACGTCGCGATAGGACAGAAGCGTCAACTGTAGCACAACCCAGAAGAAACCGAGAACACGCAGAAGCTTGCTTTTGTCCTTTCATCGTGGTGCTAAAAGTACGCTTGCTGATCGAGGCCAGTGATTTTGCTCTCCGTAGGGCGTCATCGAGGAGGACCGCCGGCACAAGAAGGTCCTCAACCGGCGCTTCATCGTCGCCGAGGGCCTCTACCAGAGCACCGGCCGCGTGGCCCCGCTGCGCAAGATCGTGGAATTGCGCGACAAGTACTTCTTCCGCCTGCTGCTGGATGACAGCATGGCGCTCGGAGTGCTCGGGGCGACCGGCCGGGGATCCCCCGAGCACTGGGGCGTCCCCGTCAGCAAGGTGGACATGATCTGCTGCGCGCTCGGGAACGCGTTCGCGTCGGTCGGGGGGTTCTGCGCGGGGAGCCTCCAGGCGGTGGATCACCAGGTAGGAGGATGGAGTGGTGCGTGGTAGTGCATGTTTTGATTTGCGTGGAACTGTCGAGTACGAGCTTTTTTTTGGAGCTTCTTTCGGAGCATGCAGGTTTGCGAAAGTCGGAATTTTTGTACGCTTTCAGGGTTGGCGCACCATGCAACTTTTTCGAAGCCTAAAGGGAGGCTGCGCCACCCCAATCGTTGGACTTCCGAAACTGCTCAAAGAGTGCCCGTAGAGAAAGGAGACAATTGTTCACTTAGGGCTTACGATCTTTCTTGGAGTTTCTCTCTCACATAGCGTCCGGAATATGTTTGTGCTCGAAGCTTTCCCCACGTTAGTTGTCACAACTTAGGCGGTTCGCTGCCGGTCTGTCCGCCGTTTGTCCGTGCCCCTGGTTCCTAAAACGACCGGCCCACTCCGTTGGTTTGCAAACCCGAAAGCCCACATACCTCGCCGCGGCTCTTCCATACCTCTGCGTGTTCCTTTCATACAGGCGCTTTGCCCTTTTAAGGTGGCTCAGTGGTCTCGAAAGCCCATATTCCTTAGCGCTGCTCAATTTGAGGGTTCCGTGCTTATTTGTTCTCTCTTCTTCGCGTGCTCGCTCTTTCTTTTTGCAGTGCCTGAGTGAGCTCGGCTACTGCTTTCTGGTGCTGCTCCTGCCTACGGAAACCTGCATCCTCTGCCGCTGCTAATTCCATGTTTTCTTCCTCTTCTCACTGAGAAGAACAACAATCACTCTCTCTTCGCACACAGCGTCTGAGTGGGCTCGGCTACTGCTTCTCGGCGTCCCTCCCGCCCTTCCTGGCGGCCACCACCATCTCATCCATCGACTACCTAGAAAGTCACCGGGATTTGTTGTCCAAGCTGCAGCGTAACATCGGCATCCTTAGAAATGGTGAGTCTAGCCGACCTCATTTGGAAGGGCCAGTCCTTTCCTCCTCTTTCTGACCGCTTGCTCCTAGCTTTTGGTATAGCGGACTCACGAAGAAGGCGCTCTGTTGAGAGGAGATGTATCGACCCTTTTCGTAAGTCGTTTCTCCGCTTGAGTGTTACGGGGTCAGCGTTTCCCGGCCACTTAGAAACCCCACACTTTTTGATGTCGAACTCTTCGTCTGTCTTCCTGATTGTTCCGAACTGAAGGATCTGATCGTCGTGATCAGGCGATCTCAATCCAGCGACTCGCTGATAAGTCCAAAAGATCGTAACAAGATCACCACTCTGAGACGGGTGAATCACCTGATTTGGGGATTCAGCGTGTTTACAGCGCAGCCTGTCTAAATCTGGTGCCCTTTTGCTCCTGGTTCAGGGCTGGCCAGCATCCCCGGGCTGTTTCTGGAGGGCGACCCCATCTCCCCGGTCATGCACTTGCAGCTCGCCACCCCGGCTGCCTCCGACGACGAGGAACGGGAAAAGCTGCAGGCCATCGTCGCTAGGGTGAGTTGAAGAACACGGGCTGGTTCACAGTGGACGTGGGGTTTGCCTGATATTTGCCGCTTAAGGCATCAGAATCTGCGTGTTTACACTTCAGTAAGTCGGTTATGGTCCTTGTGACGATTGCAATCTCGTCTACCCATGTACAGCGCGTCCAACAAGGAGCAAGCACGTTCGAGTCATAGACCCGAATTTCAGTCACGGCCATTCGTGGTGAACTAATTGGATACCGGTCAAAGCGACCGCGACAATCATTTTCCTGCTTCTTGCCGCCAAAGCATAGCGGGTCAGCGGGCGCCCTGATGAGTAAGAGCTTTGACGGCTTGCCCCAAAAACGGGACCTGCCTGCTGTGAGCTGTATTGAAGGAGTCTGTGGGGAGGCTGGACGCTTACAGCCCCCCCTGTTCTGGGCGAAACACGTCAATAAATGCTGTAGCGGGTTACTTTTGTTACAGCCTGGCACCGCGGCTGGCCCTCAGAACTCATCCGAGTTGCCGCCAAGCGATTGTCGCATTCGAGTCCTGATGTTCGCAAGCCACACTCTGGGCTGTCTTCATCGCAAGAACTCGTTTCAATCCTTTTGATGTGGAACTCTGTTTGAAGTCAAAGCGACCGCTCCCTTCCTTTTCAATGAACGGCGTTCCCTCCTAATGCTGCTTGCTTTCTGCAGGCACTTGACAAGGCCTCTCTCCTTCTCACGACGACCAAGCACAGCGCCATAGAAAGGAGAAGGTTTCGCCCGAGCATACGAATAGCAGTCTCGGCGGGTCATGAGGAGAAGGAGCTTGTAAACGCAGTGGCGCAGCTCAAGAAGGTCACTGCAGCAGTCTTGAAGAAATGAATCTGGCTAATAAGTATTGATGATGGAACAAAATTCAAGGACATAGCCGCGTCATATTGTGTGCCCTGAACAAGGGTATTGAATCTGCAGCTGCAGAAATGCATACCAACACATACACATACGGACTTGGGTCGTCCATCCTCAGTGGCATGGCAGAGATCGTCGATGATGGACGGTGGTAATTTGCAACTTTGGGCTCATTCTACATTCGAATGTCCTTGCACACTTTGCCTACTACGTCCGACTAGGCCGGAGTATCGGCGGTTCCTAAGTTGTATCATTTGCATCTTGGTGGGATACTGCAATAGGTCTAAATGTGTGACGCCACAACAATGCATTTGATTGGTGGACAAACCCATATGACACTATAAGTTCAATTGACCAGAACTTAGAAGCGATGTACAGAGTAGTTTCTAGAATGCGGCACTGAATCTGAAGGATGGCCTCCTCGAGACATGCAGGGTACAAGCTGCACACTGCAAGCTGCTGCACCGTGGTGGATCAGCTAGGAGAAGGATTTAACTCTTGCATGACTGCATATATGAACGGATATATGTGGAGCCCTGCCGCGCGGCAGCCACTCAGCTCGAGACAACTAGACTGGAAGAATCGTCCTCAAACAAACAGTGACGATTCTCAAACCCACGCTGAAAGCCGACTCGCGA